ATTCTGTTATTCCTTCACCTATATTCTTATGTTATGATTCTTGTATGACATGTGAAATTATATATCCCTGAAATTTTGCGGATTATTCAAATTAGTTTCCGTATAAATTTGTAGTAGTGGTTTCCTTCTGTTGGGTCCAGTGTTTGAAAAGGCGCGCCTTCGGCGCAAGTCGTTAGGGGTCATGCACCTTTTGTGGTCCAGGCAAAGCGATTTTGATGAGGCACAGCTAAGGTGCATGGAGGCTCGCCTAGGCACACTATGGCGCAGAACAATTTTTCAGAATTTTATTTAGTTATTATTTATTGTTTATTGTTTATTGTTTATTGTATGCGCCTCACCCTCACTGAGGTGCGCCTTAGGCACAGGGTGCTCTGAAACACATTGGTGCGCCTTGGTCCTTTTTATACATTGGTTAGGTCTTGAAAAGGCATCAATCAACATTTGTAAGAGCTAAGTTCTTTGCTACCTTATTGCCTTCCTTGTTAAATTACAGGGGAATTAAATAGATTTTATAGCTGGGAATCTGGTGTGACCAGTAGTATGACTAGTATCTGAGCAGATCTTTCCATATTCCTAGCATTGACCGTCAGATCTTTAAACAACCTGATCCCAGTAGGAACTCTTGGAAGCACACACATGACGCATCCTGTGATATATACTAGCAATGCCAAATAGCTGCTGCCACTGTTTGGTCAGCCTGGGAGACTTCACCTTCTATCTTCTTGTAAGCAGGTAGCCATAATGTTGCTATCAGTGAATTACTTACCTTCTGTTATTATCATCTAAATACCCAAGCATAACTTAACTTGGCTGGTTCAAATCTTCAACGTTTACCTTTTATCAATTAGTTGGAGGCATAGACCATCTGTTAGGGCTTGGTTTTTAGTCACAAGTAGGTTTGCTTTTCCTATTTTTTTCTTACATGAACCTCATTTACAACACACTTCCTATATTTTTTTTTTTACCATACATAACCCCACTTACAATACTATCCCTTCTACTCCCTCTCTCCTACCCTCCTTAATAATTGTGCAAATAGTAATTGTAACAAAATTAAAGGATCAGAGGCAGTACAATCTTCTTCTTTTAAAATATCAATTGACAAATCCCAACGTTGAGTGCCATGATTTTTATAGACCGGCAAAGGTGTGATATACAAGTAGATTTGCTGATGGAGCTTTTAATCAATAGAAAATGTGACATGCTCAAAACCAAGTATCATATATGCAAGCATATATGTCATATTAAATCACAAATGTGTTATATAAAAAATTGCTATAATTTGCAAGTTTGCCATTTTGATACATATAACTACATATATATCAAATTATCAATTGAATGTTGGAAATTTCCCTTACAGCATTTATCAATTACCATTTGCATGCATTATTTCTTATAAATACTGAATCTATCAAGAATCACGAGAACAAGAATAATGAACAATCCAAGTGTTACATAATAATAATTAACAAATTGTATCAGATGCCTAAACTCTCTCTCTCTCTCTCTCTCTCTCTCTCTCTCTCTCTCTCTCTCTCTCTCTCTCTCTCTCTCTCTCTCTCTCTCTCTCTCTCTCTCTCTCTCTCTCTCTCTCTCTCTCTCTCTCTCTCTCTCTCTCTCTCTCTCTCTCTCTCTCTCTCTCTCTCTCTCTCTCTCTCTCTCTCTCTCTCTCTCTCTCTCTCTCTCTCTCTCTCTCTCTCTCTCTCTCTCCTCTCTCTCTCTCTCTCTCTCTCTCTCTCTCTCTCTCTCTCTCTCTCTCTCTCTCTCTCTCTCTCTCTCTCTCTCTCTCTCTCTCTCTCTCTCTTCTCTCTCTCTCTCTCTCTCTCTCTCTCTCTCTCTCTCTCTCTCTCTCTTCTCTCTCTCTCTCTCTCTCTCTCTCTCTCTCTCTCTCTCTCTCTCTCTCTCTCTCTCTCTCTCTCCTCTCCTCTCTCTCTCTCTCTCTCTCTCTCCCTCTCTCCCTCTCCTCTCTCTCTCCCTCCCTCCCTCCCTCCCTCCTCTCTCTCTCTCTCTCTCTCTCTCATTACGAACAATGCAAGTGCAAGTGAGTGACAATAAGGAAAAGGTGGTTAACTATAAGAAAAGGGTAAATAAAACAGCAAAGATTGTGGAAAGGTGTAAATAATGTTGGGATAGATAATAAAGAGGTTTGCCAAAAATTTACTTTGCATTTAAGTAGAAGTGAGTAGAACAATCGCCAAAAAAAAAAGAAGGTAAAACACCTAATTGAAAAGTAAGCGGAACAAAACATTAAAACAGAGATTGTATTTTTATTTCCTTTTATTTGTCCCCTCTCTCCTTTGATTTGTTCTCTCTAATTGATGCTAGGACAAAGATTTAGGGTTGTGTATTGTTAGATCAATGACATTATCATTGACTATGAGATTAGGTCAGTGACATTGCATGGGGACTATAATTATAAGTGAAGTTACAAACTTTTTCATCTAATGATTCTAAAACATTAATTACTACCTCCGTTGCTTATTTTGTGCCACTTTTTCCTAAAATGGAAACTACACATTATGTGCCTTTTCTTTCCTTTTTTAAACTAGTGAACAACTCTAAAAAATAAAATATTTAAATGCAGAAAGAGTTTATGGTATGCTTATCTATGTTATTTACAGTTTTCTTTCTTATCCACATAGATTAGCTTCAGGTCTTGCTATATTTTATGACCTATACAAAAATCTCTAGATTTTACCCAAAGAGTTAAATGTAATGGGTAGAATTAGTAGATTTAAACTGCATTTAGTTTGTGTAAAAAAAAAGTGCTCTCAGTTACAAAATTCTTTCTTTCTTTCTTTTTTTTTTTTTAACTGTTCTCTCACCTCTCTATTTGCACTCAGGTTTGGCACGGCACATACTACAAAGCTCACTTTTCGTGGCTGTGCCAAGTCAAGTAACCAAGGCCTGGAACTAATGTGTGGCACAACCCACTAGCTAGAATTAGTAGGTTTAAAGTGCTCTTAGTTACGAAATTCATTCTCTCTTACTGTTTGCTCATCTCTCTCTTTCTATCCTTTTTGTCCATGTTCATTTATTGAACAGTGAACAGGAACAGTGAGCACTACACATTAAAGTAGTGTAATCTGATATACAACTCTATTTGCACTTGGGTTTGGCACAGCACATACTATGCAAAGCTCACATATCGTGTGCTGTGCATAGTGAAGTAACCAAGGCCTAGAACTAATGTGAGTGAGAGACACAACCCACTAGCTTCACTAAGCGCATTTCGGCACTGTTTGTTCGGGTTTGCCATCCAGCTCACATTTTTTTCCCTACCAATGGACATATGACTTTGGAATGTTTAGAGACTTATTACATGAGTTTTTTGTTCCCATAGTATTTTTTAAAAAGCAAAATGCTGTGACCTAGACATTTCTTGATAGCACTGATAGCTTCATAGTCGTAAAAAATGTGATAGCTTCACAGTAAAGGTATTACTGCTTTACTATTACCCTGTCAAACAGTGTACCCTTTAGAATGAAGCTTTTTCCGTCAATAGTTTGGAAACTGCTGCTATCTGAGATTTACATCTTTGTATATATGCGTGAGGAGCATGCTATTTGATTTGCTGTGACATATTTGCAATAGGACCTCCCACTAATTTACTCTTCTGTTCGCAGGAACTGGCAGAGCATACAGCTGAGGTGAATTTACAACATGAGAATCTTGATGGAATTTTCACTTTCTATGATTCAGCAAAGGCCACTCTGAATATTTACCAGGTGTCCTTTCTATTGTCAATGTATAGCAGTTGCTGTTCCCATGCCTAGGTTTCTATGCAAACAGTTATTTATCCCCATTTATATGAGACTAAATTAATTTGGATTGTTGCAGGTGGCTAGTGTCACATTCGATTTGCTGTTGTTGCTAGTTCTGGGATCATACTTGATAGTGCTATTCAGTTTCCTCGTCATTACAACCAGGGCGAGTAGCCTTTCTCATTTTCCATGTTGAAAAATGCATGATAATAGTCTTGATAGTTGTGTTTTACAGGCTCTTTGACATTAATTCATTGTTGTTAACCTTATTGTATCTGTCCAATCAGGGCCTCGATGATCTCATCAGTTTATTTCGAAGACCACCTTCCCGGAAAGTGAAAACAGCCTAATCCTACAAAAAGGAACTGTTGAACATCGTAAAGCTTGTTGCACACTCAAAGGCAACGATTTTTTCTTGCAGCCTAGACTGATATCATTTTCCTCCAGCCTGAACCATAAGTGCTGCTGTTGCAGATTTGTTGTTGCTGGTGCTTTTGTAGATTGTAGATCCATCTACAAATAGGAAGAGGCTTCCCATCTCTTGTCGTTTCACAAAGAAAACACTATATATGAGGACTTGGTGCATTATTGCCAAGCAAAAGTTTTGTTGTAATGACTTGAACAGCATTTGGTTTTACCGTCTACAAATTGAATACCCTCCACTGTCTGTTCTGTTAACAATTCTTACAGAAGGTTCCTTGTTCTTTTCCTGTCAAGGAAGCAGAAATTCAACTCTGGCTCCAAGTTTGTGTCCGATGTTAATCTGTACTACAGGAATAGCTTGGAATCTGGTCATGACTGACGAAGAGTTGATCTATAAGATGTGTTTTTCTTGGATCCTCAAAGAGGTTTGGGTTTAAATGAAGAATACAGTATAAGTATGGTCAAGCAAGATTATAATAATTCAAGTCTTGGCCAAGTTTCTGGATAGCAAATCAAACTAGTGAACTACGTAGTAGTAGGAATCTATGAAAGCTGATGCATGACATCACAATGTGCTGTTATTGTGCAGTTGGTGATTTCTAAAGGAGAAATGTCTCAAACCTAATACCGAGTTAAAAAAAAATTAAAAAAAATTGTCCGTGATACGAATGGATTTTTTTTAATTTTTTTATATTTTTATCACGACAGACTTTGACCTCAAATTTTTTAAATAGCGAGTTAGCAATGCCATTTAGATTTGTTATCCATCCCATTCATCCTTCCCCTCCTTTAATGAAGCAGTAAAATAGTAAATTTATCGCGTTGTAATATGTGAGTTGTTGCTTGTATTTACTTTTCATAAAGTACGATTTTGTCAATAATAGTTTCTTGCTTGATATTACAGAGCTTTTGAGGATTAAATGCTATGCAACACAATTAACTAAAATATTTTCCCTCTTTTTGGAAGAGTGGAGGGGTAGGGAGGGGGTAGATCATGAGATCATATCTGGTTCATAAACAAATATAGAACATCAGCTTGGTAAGGTAATGTAATAAATTCGGGTAATGTAATTTACACAGCATCCATGTCTCCCATCAAATCCACCTCGTCCACGAAATTGCTATACACAACACTTGGGCACACTAGGAGCCTTGGAGTGGAGGGGAGGGGGGGAGGGCATGGAAATTGCAACTTTCAGGAGTGGTGAGCATTCAATAACCTTCGATGCACCATGTCGATAAACTGATCATCCTGTATCATAGAAGGATATCTTTAGTGATAAAATATCAAACAAGTAAAAGATAACTAGGGCAAACAACTTGTAACAAATTAATGAATGGAAATAAACCCTAATACACAGATAACAAATAACAAATTTAATAGCTAAATAAATATGACAAATATCCCTTAGACCATAAATCCATAAGATATAGACTTAATAGAGGTAATAATTTAAGGAAATTTATACTTTTCTTAGCTAAATGTAAGCAATTTAAGGGAAGGCTCAATCTCAAACACATAAACTTAAAAAGAGTAACGCATATCTTATTGACAAGTAAGGAAGGCTCCCAACATATCTTTAAATAGTAAAATAGGACTTACTAGATCTGAAGCCAGTAAACAAGTACCAAGGATTGAATTTTTCAAATCAACATAGATGTCAAGTAAGCCGTGGCTCTATTTTCTAACACATAACTTGAAGCTAAAGTAAAAAATTCTGTTACCTATAATCATAGACCCCGCTGTTGTAAAAAAAAAAAAAAAAATCATAGACGTAGCCATACACAATTAAACACAGATTTGAAACCCACCTGAATAAGCAACAATAGAGCTTCTCGAACCTTCTCTCTGCTTACGACTGGCCCAAAATTAGGAGAGGCAGCTGATGTTGGAGTAAGAGATTGGGGTGGAGTTGGGGGAGGAAAAGGTTGGTGGACTGGAGCAACACAGGGAAGTTGAAGATTAGGAGGGTGCAGCGGAGGAGCAGTTGACACAGATGAAGAAACAGGCAGCGCCATAAATGGATAGGTGGCAGGAGGAAGACTAGAAAAGGAGGATGGTTTAACAAGATTTGTCAAATAATTGTTATTGCTGTTTGGCTCTGATGTATCAAGCAGAGACAGCAAAGAAGCAGATGTTAAGGTAGCATTAGATGCTATTTGTGCTGATGGAACCATTGGAGGCATATTGACTGGCCGACTAGCAAGGATGGCAGTTACAGAAGGCTTCTGGAGTTGTCCTGTAATTGTAGAAATTGAAGGATTTCCCATATTCATAGCTGACTGCAAACATGAAATCAGTACCAGTCACAGAAAAAGCAAATGAAATCCTTCATTAGATTGTAAATCATTCAAATTTCCCAAGCTGAAGAGAAAAAGGCTTAGAAATACACTGAAGAAGTTCACAAAGGCGGGATCATCAGGGGCATCATGAACATTTGTGGTAGTTGACGGCAAAGGCTCCAATGGACCATCCATAACAGCCATGGTTGGTACTGCCTCTAGTTCTTCAAATTCACTGCAGCAGAATACACTTGCTATAACAAACTTTAACAGACCAGCAATATAGACAACATCATTTCTATGTACATGTACTTTCAGTACAAGAGGGCCAAATATAGAGGTTTAATTAGTTACAGAAAATCACAACTATACAGTTGTTCAATTGAAAGCAAGCTATAATAATGTACACGAGGAGGGAGTGATGTAGCACAGATAATGTGCACTTTGACTTCCTGAGTTCCAGGATATTTTACTCTGGTTGAATCTCACCTCTTTAAAAGTCCCCAAGCCCTGAGAGAAGGTAATCAGTTGTCTTCCCCCCTCCCTAAAGAAAAAATGTCCACACAATCCATTTCCCTTAGCCAAAAAAAGAAAACAATACTTCTCATCATCACTATTGTCTACGTAGAAAGAGGAGAGGGTCAAGCTCATGCCTTTACTGAGGACAGAAAAGTACACCTCCCTGAGAAAATGGTGTATACACTTCCTCTCTTCAGTGGTCAAAGTTATGATTTACAGGCCATAAGTTAGACAGGGTAGTACCACTTTACATCTTTCAGTTTGAAGATATTTGCACCTTTGTGACTTAGTACAAAACGTAATATACCTCACTTTATAAAAGGTAGTATCTACAGAAGGTAAGTCACCTCAGCTTGATACTATAACAATGCTCGTCAAGCCATAATATAGTTCTCATCATTTATCCAACACGAGAAAAAACAAATTGACTTGATATAATCTATAAGGGTTCAGTCTAGACCTCTTTATCTCTTAGACAAACAAAAATTACAAGGGAGAGACAGAGAAGGAGCCAAGTACCCAAGATAGAAAAAAGGGGTATGACACTTGTAAGTTGCAAGCAGTTTATGACTGTAATATCCGACATTACAGCATAGATGTACATGAAATTTACCTTTTAGATGGAGCTATATTGGGCTTAGTGGGCACCTTAGAATAAGCGTTAAGTATCCTGGAAGAAATAGCATAGGACACAATTCATAGTAAGATATCTTCAATGTTAATCAATTATATTATGAAGTTCTAAAACCAGTTCATGTTATTGAAGCTGTAGTTTTACTAGTTTTGGACTTAGGGACATAAAGATACCTGTCAAACAGATTTGCCACCTCTTCACATTCACGAGCATTATAAAACCAAATACCATTTACCTCTTGTGCAGCATTGCGGTATAATAAATATGGTAACTGGATTTCATACTCAAAGTCCCCCAAAAGATTCTCTACTAGATTTTCTGCACATTTGAATACACAGCTTCTTCAAGTTCCAAGTCATTATAAATTAACGTAATCATAAAAACCGATTTCAAACATATCTAACAATCAATACAATCATTTTCCCGCCTGCCTATCCTTCTTTCGAGGGGGTAGTGAGTAATTGGGAGGGGGGGAGGGGGTGTCGTATTTGACAATTTGTCATTCAAATAAGAGGCCTCAGATTAATGGCTTCAGCAACATGGAAATACAAAGGCTGATTCTGGTTTCAACATGTGTGAAAATTGCGTCACCTACTCAAGCTTCTGCAAGTCATAATGAGGATAAAACCTTCCAAGCAGCAATCAAAGTGTCTACTTTCTATTATTCATTTTATTTAACACACTTATTTAAGCACGCCTGGTAATGCATACTTTCAAACCTTAACATCTTCAGTTGTTGATTAAAATAATTAACACAAAGTTTATATTTATTTGAAAGAATGATTCAAAATAACTTTAACCTGTGTTTCGGCGATTCATTACTATAAATTGAAACCGAGGCTGTTTGTTCCTGAACAAAAAAAACAACATAATAATAATAATAATCAATGAAAATTTGTTATTCACTAAGCAAAGCAAAATTATGATAACTCAAAAATAGCAAAATACAAAAAAAAAAAAAAAAAAAAAAAACAAAAAAAAAAAAAACCTTTTAACGACAAAAAGGGAGCCTTCGACATCCTTGCGACTCTGCAAATTGACAAAAGAAATAAAAAGCGAGGAAAAAAGAGAGAGACGGAAAACAGAGAAAGAGAGAAGATTACCCATTGGCTGAGTTCAATGTTAAATTCATAGAACGTAACATGAGCAGCAGTAATCAGAATCTCCTCAACAGAAGGATCGATGCGCTGAAGAACCGTCAAATTAAGCAGCTTTGTACTCTTCTGATCCAGATTTGGCATTACTTTTCCACTTTGAGCCATCTTTTGATTTCTAATGGAATCACAAAACCCTAATTTTATTTTTGATTTTGCAATGAATCACAAAACCCTAGCTTTATTTTGAGATTAGATTACACTGATGAATCAGTTATCTGCCTCTCTTTCTCGACTCTCGTTTGTTCTGTTTCGCTCCCAAAATGCGTACTCTCTTTTAACTTTTAACCCAAGCTTTTCAACAGGTTTCAGACGATGAGACGGAGCACGCCTCACAATATCATCACCTTAGTAGGTGAAAGCTGTAAATCAAGTTTATTACCTTAATATCACTAAATCAAGTTTATTACCATAATATTACCTTAATAAATTGACAACTTCCCTTCAAAAAAAAAAAAAAAAGAAAAAAGAAAATTTGACAACTTTTTATGAATATTACATACTCCCTCCGTTTTTATTTTAGTGCCCCATAGTACCCGCAAGATTTTACAATTCCAACCAAAACAAAACTATATTTTTTCTTATATATAATTCACAAACATTGATCAAAGTATGTTTAATGAATGGTACCAAAATTCCCAGTGGGACACTTAAAAAAACAAAGAAAGTATAAAGAAGCAAATTCAAGTTACTCAATTTGAGTAACTAACCAACTAATATTGTAATTTTACTATTAAAAAAAATACTAATATTGTAACTCAAAGGGCACGCTTGTCCAATTTCGCTCAAAAGTAAGGGCAAATTCGGAAAGTCGTGTTTTCTCAACTTAGACGATAGGAAAATAGTTATAGAAAGGGTCATAAGCGGCGAAGTTAGATTTTCCTTGGTGAACTCGGAAGTTTAATTCGGTTCCGGTGTTGATTTTGGTTGAGAATGACGGCGACTACGATGTTGATTTAGGCAGAGTCTTTTGCTTCAATTCCGCGAGTTACCGAAGTTAGGGTTTCCTTGGTGACACCTCCGAAGTTTAATACGGCTCCGGTGTTGATTTCCGCTGAGCATGTCGGCGACTCCGATGTCAACGCCACCTCCATTTCCACCACTTAAGGCGATTAAATGCCGCGAACAAGATCCTTTCCCAAAGGGGTTGATATGACCCTACTTGACATTTTTATTACTAGGGTTTGTTGTGGGGTTGTAATACCTCGTATTTTTATACGTATTTTAAATTAAAAATAAGTATTTCTTGAAGTATTTAAATAATTTGAAATGAATTATTTAGGGTTTTCATTAATCCGAAAAGAATGATTTTAATTAAAAGTATATTTTATTATTTAATAATCTAGAAAATATTTTATTTCATGATTTAAAAATATTGGGGCATATTATTTTATAAAAGATAATTTATTAAAAAAAAAGTCAAAAGTCTAGTTTGAGTAGGAAAAGGATTTTAAGGGAGGTAAGTAGGAGGTTATGAGAAAGGGTATAAATGCCCATCATATGCCTAGGGTGGAGTGCACCCAAAGGTAAATTCTCTCTCCTCTTTTTTTTTCCTTAATTTTTCCCCTTTCCCATTGATTAATTAATTTAATTATTTATTGTTTAACCACCACACACGTCGGCCACCACCACCAACCTTCTCCGGCGGCAGCAGCCAACAGGCAGCGGCGGCACAGGTGGTTGTGTTGCCTATTCACCGTTCTTAATTTTCTTAATCGCGTTTAGATTCTAACTCGTCCAATTTTTACAAAAAAAATAGTGTTTTTCGTGTGTAAACGACATTATAAACAAAACTCACTACTATAGTAGTGAGCACCACCCACTCGTGGCCAAATTCAGCCTCTAAATATGGTTTTCGGGCAATTTTTTATTTCAACGAAAGATTTATGTTTTTTTTTTTATTATTTTAATTAAATCTACCTAAATTAAACTATTGTTTTTGGGCTTTGTGGTGATTCTATGATGTTTAATAATAAGTATTTTATTTATAAATTTCAAATTTAGTTTTAGAATTAAAAAGCCCCAAAATTGAAAACCCTAGGTTTTTAAATTAATGTTTGTTAAGGGATTTGATTTTGGATGATCTAAATTATTGAAATAGGTGTTTAAAAACTTAATTACAGCAATTTAAGATGTTTTAATAATGCTGGAAATTTTCTTAATCAGCCTAAATTAAGTTTCTTGAAAGGATTTTTAATTACCCATTTAATTGGGAATAAAGTAAGAGTTTTAAATAAAATTTCAGCTTATTTTAAAGGGTTTGTGAGCGATTTAAAGAGGGTTTATATTGCTGGAATTTTTGTGTTAGAGAGGTATTAATACTCTTTTATAATTTTGGTTTGTAGGAGATTTCCAAGTGAGTGATTTTATTTAATTGTGGCGATTTTGAGATCATATTCGAGGTACGTTCGCGTACTTGGTAATGTTTAAGCGTATAGAAGCGTGCTAGGCTTTGTAAATTAATTCCAAATAGTATCATGATAGGTGTTGAATGAAATTTGTTGATTGGATTGATGTTGGTGAATGATTTAGATTTGGAATTTCCATGATGGAACTATCAATAGTGAAATTACTCTGAGTAGGAGAAGAACTCCGTGACTGATGACTGAAGGAAAGGGATTACTTCCTGCCGATAGTAATAGGTGGGGTATGGAATATTTAAGCGTTGACAATGATCATTTTCAACCTTAACAAGATAAGAGGTTAAGTATCTATAATCAGGGTACCACTGTCCATGAAATTTTTTATATTTGGAGTAATTTGGAATGTCCCCTGGTAAGTAGAAATCAGAGAACTTTGATTTGACAGCTAGATATGGAGGTTCGTCGGGAAGACAATGAATTATCATGGCGGAAATGCGATCAGGAAGGTCATAAAGCTTGTTTCCAAACACATTGCTCATTCGGGCACAATAAAACTGAATTTTGTTGACATAGTCAAATGGATGCTCGTGGTCTTTTTTGATGAGGGTACCAATTTGGATGAATTTGCTAGGAAGGATTGACATCCTGTAAGGAAAAGGTTTAGAAAAGAATTCCTTTCCCAAAGAAAAAAAAAAACAATACAGTTCTTGCATGAATTAGGTTCAATGTTCAATCAAACAATTTCACCTATTCTAATCATATAATCTCATGAATTATTGTTTGATTGAACATTGAACCTAATTCATGCAAGAACTGTATCGTTTTTTTTTTGGGAAGGGAATTCTTTTCTAAACCTTTTCCTTACAGGATGTCAATCCTTCCTAGCAAATTCACCCAAATTGGTACTCTCATAAAAAAAAAAAAACCATGAGCATCTGTTTGACTATGTCAACAAAATTCAGTTTTATTGTGCCCGAATGAGCAATGTGTTTGGAAACAAGCTTTATGACCTTCCTGATCGCATTTCCACCATGATAATTCATTGTCTTCCCGACGAACCTCCATATCTAGCTGTCAAATCAAAGTTCTCTGATTTCTACTTGCCAGGGGACATTCCAAATTACTTCAAATATAAAAATTTTCATGGACAGTGGTACCCTGATTATAGATACTTAACCTCTTATCTTGTTATGGTTGAAAAGGATCATTGTCAACGCTAAAATATTCCATACCCCACCTATTACTATGATATTCCGGCATGAAGTAATCCCCCTTCCTCCAGTCATCAGTTAGGGAGTTCTTCTCCTACTCAGAGTAATAATACTATTGATAGTTCCATCATGGAAATTCCAAATCCAAATCATTCACCAACATCAATCCAATCAACAAATTTCATCCAACACCTATCATGATACTACTTGGAATTAATTTAACAAAGCCTAGCATGCTTCTATACGTTTAAACATTACCAAGTACGTGAACGTACCTCGAATATGATCTCAAAATCCCACAATTAAATAAAATCACTCACTTGGAAATCTCCTCCAAACCAAAATTATAAAGGAGTATTAATACCTCTCTAACACAAAAATTCCAGCAATATAAACCCTCTTTAAATCGCTCACAAACCCTTTAAAATAAGCTGAAATTTTATTTAAAACTCTTACTTTATTCCCAATTAAATGGATAATTAAAAATCCTTTCAAGAAACTTAATTTAGGCTGATTAAGAAAATTTCCAGCATTATTAAAACATCTTAAATTGCTGTAATTAAGTTTTTAAACACCTATTTCAATAATTTAGATCATCTAAGATCAAATTCCATTAACAAACATTAATTTAAAAACCTAGGGTTTTTAATTTTGGGGCTTTTTAATTCTAAAACTAAATCTAAAATTTATAAATAAAATACTTATTATTAAACATCATAGAATCACCACAAAGCCCAAAAACAATAGTTTAATTTAGGTAGATTTAATTAAAATAAAAAAAACATAAATCCTTCGTTAAAATCAAAAACTGTCCGAAAATCATATTTAGAGGCTGAATTTTGCCACGAGAGCATAGTATTTTATAAATAAAATACTTATTATTAAACATCATAGAATCACCACAAAGCCCAAAAACAATAGTTTAATTTAGGTAGATTTAATTAAAAAAAAAACATAAATCCTTTGTTAAAATCAAAAACTGCCTGAAAATCATATTTAGAGGCTGAATTTGGCCACGTGAGCATAGTGCTCACTACCATAGGTAATGAGTTTTGTTTATAATGTCATTTACACAGGAAAACACTATTTTTTTGTAAAAATCGTACGATTTAGAATCTAAACGTGATTACAACGTGATTAAGAAAATTAAGAACGGAGAATAGGCAACACGCAACCACCTGGGCCGCCGCTTCCACGCTGCCTGGTGGTTGCTGCCGCCAGAGAAGGTTGGTGGTGGTGGCCGGCGGTTAAACAATAAATAATTAAATTAATTAATCAAAGGGAAAGGGGAAAAATTGAGGAAAAAAAAAAGAGGAGAGAGAATTTATCTTTGGGTGCACTCCACCCTAGGCATATAATGAGTTTATACTCTCTCTCATAACCTCCTACTTACCTCCTACTTACCTCCCTTAAAATCTCTTTCCTACTCAAACTAGACTTTTGACTTTTTAAATAAATTATCTTTCATAAAATAATATACCCTAATATTTTTAAATCATGAAATAAAATATTTTATAGATTATTAAATAATAAAATATACTTTTAATTAAAATCATTATTTTAGGATTAATGAAAACCATAAATAATTCATTTCGAATTATTTAAATACTTCAAGAAATACTTATTTAAATTTAAAATATATATAGATATACGGGGTATTACAGGGGTTGAGAAAGGACGAAGAAGAGGAGGTCGATGGTGGATGTTGTGATGTGTTTGGCGGAATCGTACGCAGTTGCTTCGTCGATCGTGGTTTTCTTTCGATTGCTCTACCATAACTTTTGCTTTCTCTCTCCTGGACCAGTGCTAAACTCAGTAAAAATAAAAAACGTTTTAACATTAGAATATTATTATTCGCGTCTTTCAAGGCAAGCTTTTACCACATTGCCATTTGAGTAACAGCCTTTGTTACTCATTATGAGTAACCTGGCCACCTCAGTATGAGTATGAGTATCAAGTATCAACCCTCAGTGGTTGATATAATTTGATA